TGTGCCCTAAGTTCTATAAACTCTGAGAGTACATGTAGTCTTGGTTTTTGGTTCCTGACGCTAAAATCACTCTAGCCTCGCGCGTACAAGACGAATTCAACCAAGGCCGCGCTAGCCCGAGACTTCAAGGCCCATAACCTACCGGTGGTTTAGGGTTTAGGGTTTAGGGGTTTAGGGTTTAGGGTTTAGGGTTTAGGGTTACCTACCGGTAACAAGTAGCTTGAATCATCCTAAATACAGCACAGCCCCGATCGTTTAAGTGGGGTCGCCCAAGAGGGATGATTTGAAACTATTGCAATTACAGACTACACGTATTCGGCTCTTGACACAGACTGTCGGAGTCTTGGGATAACCTTACAAAACGCAATGTAGCACGTTCAATAATAAAAGCCTCATGAAGCCTCCATGCGACCCTGAACCTCGTATCCCGAAACCCAAAAACCCTAAACCCTGAACCCTGAACCCTGAACCCTAAACCCTAAACCCTAAAAACAAAAAGTGTCCGAGCCTGAGCGCCGAGACCTTTTTTCTCCAGGTGCCTCCTGGCGCCGGCAAGGCGCAGCTGCAGGCCATTCTCGAGGTACGGGAGCTCCTAAAGACTGCCTACAACATGTTTAGGATTTAGGGTTTATAGGGGCCTCAATAATTACCAATACTATTCTTTGGGGCTCCTTGTTATAATTACAGTGTATTGCCCCATAGAATAGGGGCCTCAATATTAATTACCAGTGCTATTTCGGTGGTTCCTTGTTATTCTTACAGTATAGCCTGCAATATAGCGGCCCCAATAATTACCAATGCTATTCTTTGGGGGTTCCTTGTTATAATTATCGTAGAATGGGTCCCAACACCCTATTCTACGATTAAGGTTCCCAGATTATAGTTGCTTAGGGGCTGGGCAGGTAACGACCACTCTCACGATGTCGCTGAAGATGTGCACACTGGAGTGCTTGCTCAGGGAGCTAGTGGCCAGGGCCAACATGACTATACAGAATCCCGATTGCAAGGCAGAGGCAGGGAAGCTGGGGCTCCTGCAGGGCGATGCGCGGATGTACTGTCAGTGGAATCCGGCCAAGCAGGAGGTCCAGACTTGCACAGCTCAGCCCATTCAGCACTGCCATGGGTCGAGGAATTTCGGGAGAAGATTCAGGCCTGCAACGGACTCAATCGCTTTCAGGCACTGCAGGAACTGGCCTCCATTGCCTTCCCGCTGGACGCGAGCTTGCGAACCGCCAGTCTAGAGTCATAGTGTACCAACCTTGGGTTCAGGGTTTAGGGCCCCTCATTCAAACTTTAAATGCTCCACTGAACCAGTTGAACCCCTGAACCCCAGAACCCTGAACTTCGCAGACCCCCGACGGTTTGCCTCGCCTAGGTAACCCACAACTCTTTTTTGTTGGAAGGGGTATATGCGAAACGTCAATCCCTTACCAAGCCCCACGAATAATCCTTGATCGAGCCCCCATTACCCCTAAACCCTAAACCCAAAACCATTAGAGACGCTGGCTAGGATCTGGAAATCGACGTAGGTGTAAGCCTGCCTTTGTATCGTTTTGTACTTGGTGTTGGTGCCTTACGCCGAGCAGGCTTACATATGGGTAGTTGTCAAAATNNTTTTGACAACCACCCATATGTCCTTGGTTTCCGCCCTCGAAAGTCTTCAACACTCCAACGGTTCCCTGCGGTGCGACTCAGTCAGCCTGGCGGGTGGAGAAGTATGGGCCCCTAATATGG